TCCCGCCCCCCCCCCCGGCGGCGTTTCCCACCAGCCGCAGGGCTGGCTGGAGGAGGTGGCGTGGTGCTTGCTGGGCTGCAGCCAGCGAGAGGGCTCCACGTCAGGAGCCATTCCCAGGGGAGACCGCAGCGTTCCTCGTGGCACCATGGTCACTGAAGAGCTACTTGGGTTTGCTGTGGTGTGTTTGGGCATAGGGCAATGCCACAGTGCTGGGTCTGTGCTGAGAGCCAGGGCAGCTCGAGCCTGTCCTCAGGAGAGTGGGGTTTTGGTGTGCAAGAAGGGACATGAGGGACCGCAGGGTCTCCCCCTATGACATGTGGTGGTTTTACAGGCAGCCAGAGGCAGGGGAACAGCAGCTCCGTGGCCAGAGCAGCAGCTCTGGACATGTTTGTGCTCGCCCGGAGCATCTTTGAACCCAGCAGCTGTAGGAAACTCCCTTGTGTCCTTGATGAGTGACCCGTGTGCTTGGCACAAGCCTCGCTGGGCAGCTGCATACACACAGCCCTGGGAGCCCGCGCCATCCCCTTCCCGCTCCTGCCAGCTCCCACATCCCATCCCGTTCCCGGAGGGAACATTACTGTTGGGCTCTGCCCCACTGCTCACCCTGCGCATTACAGGGATCGATGTGGCTGGATCAATACCACCAGCTGGGGACCAAAAAGCCCCAAAAGGTATTTGTACCCCCCTCTGCCCAGCCCTGGGGCCTGGCAGCCACCGTCACACGTGCCAGGGCCTTGGGAACACCAGCACCTCGCCGCAGTGGCCAGGCACCGGGGCAGCATCACCGAGTCCCCCGCTAGCCCCAAAGCCAGAAATAGTAGAGCTTGTCATTCCCAGGGGTTATAAATAGCCTTGGCTATGGGGAGATGTTGTTTTTCTGCGTGGAAAATGCTGCCCTACTTCTGTTTCATCAATCTGCCGCCAGAAATAGTCCTAATTTCTTGGAAATTTCTTGCCTCTTGGGAATGGGTTAAAGCGCTGCCTCACAGGGGCTCGGGGTAAAGCTGGGCAAAGGAGGCTGAGCCCACCTGGCTCCAGGGCATGGTCAGATGGACCTCGGACCTTCTCCTCTCCATCCTCCTGCCATGGACAGCAGGTTGCCAGGGAAGAGCATGTCCCACACCCTGCATCGTCTGTGGTCTGGGGGCTTTGGGGTGGCAGTGGGGCTGGCATGGGGCTGTGTCCCCACAGAGCTCACACACCATCTCTCCCTGCAGCTGGACCCACAGGCCGTGCAGACAAAGAACTGGCACATGGACGTGATCGAGATGAATGGGGTAAGCCCCTCACTTTGATTGCAGCTCCTTGTCCAGGGCTGCTTCATGCAGCAATGAAAGTGATGGGCCAGGGTTGGGCTGCAGGGACTCACCCCTTATCTCCCACAGATCAAGGTGGAGTTCTCCATGAAGTTCACAAGCAGAGACATGAGCCTGAAGAGGACCCCGTCCAAAAAGCAGACCGGTGTCTTCGGGGTCAAAATCAGTGTCGTGACAAAGTACATGTGGGGCTGGGGGTGCTGATCTGTTCCAGTCCCTGTGGGTGTGGGGTTGCACCATGTCCCCTTGGTCTCACCAACACTGGAGAGCTTGGCTTTTGCTTCCGGCTGGGGACTTGTCTATTCCTTCACCAGCAACATGCTGCCCCTGGCCCGGGGTTTGCAGGGCTGGGCTGGCCACTACGGGGTTCCCTGGGAATCTTTGCTCATGGCTCTGCTTTCCAAACCAGGCGTGAGCGCTCCAAGGTGCCTTACATTGTGCGCCAGTGCATCGAGGAGGTGGAGAAGAGGGGCATCGAAGAGGTTGGCATCTACAGGATCTCTGGTGTGGCCACTGATATCCAGGCATTAAAAGCTGTCTTTGATGCAAGTGAGTGTCCTGGGAGATGGCCTATCTCCATGTCATGTTCCACTGGGAACATTTGCAGACACCAAGTCCCCCCCACCCCGGTCCCCTGCCTTGCAAGTCCAGGGTCTGATTATTGCACTGCATGTGTGCAAAATGTGCTGGCGAGCCCAGGAACGGGCTGTGGGGGTGAGGAGGGGAAGGAGGGTGTAGTAAAAGCCCAGAGGTCCCAGCCTTGTTTGTGCCTTGGTGTCTGAGCTGCTGCTGCGCCTGGCTGGCTCTGGGGAGACACTGAGTCAGGGCAGCATTGCAAATGGATTTGCAAATTATTCCGCATCCGTTGCCCAGCCAGGCGGGAAGTGCTCGGCTTTCCCAGCCCCGGCCTGGCTCAATGGAGCTGTGGATCCGGTGGTGGTGTCCCTGCCCTCCAGCCAGCAGCCTGCCTGGGTAGCTGGGGTGACGGAGGGGATTGAGACCCAGAGGGGAAGGAGATGTCACATGTGGGTGCTTTCTGGACAGATAACAAGGACATCCTGGTCATGCTGAGTGACATGGACATCAATGCCATCGCCGGCACGCTGAAGCTGTACTTCCGCGAGCTGCCTGAGCCCCTCCTCACTGACAGACTCTACCCTGCCTTCATGGAGGGGATTGGTAAGGGCTTGGGAATGGGGTCAGTGGCTCTGTTTGGCATTGCAAGCTCCGGGATGGGAGACTCCTGAGGGTCCTTCCCAGCTGAGCCCACTCAGCTCTGGCTGTCCTTGCTGGCTCCAGGTCAGCTTGGGACTCATGGTGCTGCTCCCCAGGGAGCAGGCAGCACTGGCTGCTGGGAAGCATCTGGCCACGGTAAGTCCCACTGCTGCACAAGTGTTCCCAGCTCCTGTCCTGAGCCCTCTCCCTCCTTGTTTCCAGCCCTCTCAGATCCTGCTGCCAAGGAGAACTGCATGATGCACCTTCTCCGCTCGCTGCCTGACCCCAACCTCATCACCTTCCTCTTCCTGCTGGAGCACTTGAAAAGGTAATGGATTGGCTTGTGGTTCCCATGGGGATGCCCAGCGAGGTGGGAGGTGTAGATGGGTTTGCCTCAAGTGCTTTGCCGTGGGGATTGGATGTGAATGGAGTTAGAGCCACTGATTCCTGCAGTGCCTGTTTGTCCGTGGGCTGATCCCGAAGTGGAGGAGGATGGTGCTGTGCTGCTATGGAGCAGGGCCAGCAACAGTGGCCCTTTCTTCTCCCAGCCCTTCCAAGTGGGTGCATCCCCAGGCATGTCCCACCTGCCCCAGCACACTATGAGTCCCTTTGCCTGGTGTCAGTGTTGGCTTCCCATGGCCCCTCCCTATGGGCCCTGTAGGGAGCTGGAGGGATCCTGGAGCCATTCTGCCCCACAGAGCAGCACCCAGGGCCACCGGCCACAGTGCCAGTGGGGACTGAGCAGTGCACAGCCATTGATGCAGGTCAGCTCTGCAGGGAGCATGTGTCCTCTGATAAGATGCAACGCTTGGATGCCACAGAGCATGTGCAGCTGGTGGGACAAGCTCTCTGCAGGGACAGGGAATCCAATGGGAGCTGTGCAGTGTCCCCCTTAGCAGGAAAACTGAGTGCTATGTCCCTTACCACCAGTCCAGCAATAGCCCCTGCAAAATGAGGTGCAGTAATCGTTGTAACTTGTCTGCAGTGGATCAACTCTGTGGACATGTCCCAGAGCTGCAGGTGACACCCTATGTCACTCATCCCAGGGCAAGTGCAGCAATGTGTGTTTTGATGGGCTCTATCTTGGCCCATATGAAGCCCATCCGAATCTGGGCATGGACAGTTCTGGGCCTCGGTGGTGCCCCAAAACCCATGGAGAGCACAGGACAGCAATGCACATGCAGAGCCTGGCCAGAGCTGGCGATGAGTTTGGGATCAGTGCTCACAGCTCATGTTACTTGCATCATGAAACGTTTTTTTTTTTTTCCCCTCTGGTTTGGCTAAAACCAAACAGAAAAAGTGATTGATGCTGGGGGGTGGGGAAGGAAAAATCCATTTCCATCCTGAGAACCGGGCACAGCCAGTTCCCACATCTGCTCCCCTGGCCAGGGCTCAACCGTGCAGCCTGTGCCGTGGAGCACAGCCGCCTCCTAACATGGCACTGTT